TCAGTAAAATAATTGTTCTGAAGTAGAATTACCCTACAGACCACTAAAAATATCGTGAACCCGAATTCGGTTTTTTTTTCTATGGACTCCCAGTATTATTACATGGACTCCGGTTGAGAACTATTGATCTAAACATAAAAGCGAAATTTATATTTTAACTACGTTTATTTTTTATTGTGTAGAATTACAAAGTTGTATAGAAGTTACATTGACATTTCCTATGCAAAAAATGAGTCAGCTAGTAAATAAATATTTTCGTTTATATAATATATCAAAATCTGTAGAATCATTTAAGAAAGAAATGGGAAGAAAAGTGGTCGAAAATGATTTTAAAATGAAAAAGTATAATTATACAATGTTAAAATAAAGAAAAAAATTGCAACGGTAAAATCGCATGTCATAAATTAGTTCTATAGTTACAAATATACTGTACGTTAATATTGTAGTTTATATAGTTTAATACCGTAGTAAATACAGCCTCCGGAATGATCTTAATCCGCCACTGGTCGGGCCCCATTCTTTGCCACCCAGCCATCCCATTTTGAGTCTGGCCGAACTCATACTGTACTTGAAAAGGGAAGATTTTAGCGTCCATGGAATGGAGAGAGTAAAAAATTCAAGTACTGTAATCATTTGACATGAATGTTATACGAATCATTTACAACAGAGTTCGGCAACCGGTATGTGCAAGGTGATGCTAGGTGTGCCACAATGCCCTCCAACAGGATGAAAAGCAGAGTTCGTGGTAGACGCGAGAATGTGATAAATACACGTTGGTTCAAAAGAGAATGCTTTTGCCACCTATGTTTGTAACAGAAGGAATTCTAACAAATTTCAAACTTTTACATCTTTGCAGTCATAGTTCACAGAATCTATGCACGTGTTTATTTGGCGGGTCTCATGTCAGTCAACAACTCAATTTTTTGAGGTGACTAGTGTTGATGTCGTCTCTGTAGCATGCACATATGATCACGAAATCGAAACACGATCGTGCGCTTTTGACGCTAGGATTGCGTGTTACTTTGTCCAGGATGGTTTCCGGGATGTTAATTATGAAATAAAATCGATTATAAACTAATTTCAAATATTTTTATATCATTACAAGTAAGTAAGTTTTGCGTCGGTTTTTATTTTCGAAAAGTGAGAGTACAGTAGCAAAGGAAGAGGGCAGATGATGTCTGATGTTGCTGGGCCGTATGGCTTGGACAGGTCTACACTAGGCACAATCTCAGCTAAAAAAGATATTGTATATTCAAGAAGACTCAAGCAGCTAAAGGAGTAACGAAAATCACATCTAAGAAATAAAGAACATTGAAAAGTTCATAGTGGAACCTGAAACTGATCTGACGACAGAAGAATACCAAGAAACTCGGCGAAATATGTTCTCTCTTGAAAAAGAGAATTGATGCCGATATCTGTCATTAAAGATCTTTTGAAGAAGTGGGAGGATGTCACAACAACGGTCTTAGAATGGCATCCAAATCAGTTTGAGGTTAATAGGCTTAGGGACCTCTACAACAACGCTATTAATTAATTACGCTTCTGAAAAATCCTGAAGAAAAACAATCGACATTAGACAGATTCTTTAACCCCCACAAATGGAAAAAACGTGACCAATAAAAATGCAAGAATGTGTATATACAGTATGTATTTTTATTATTATATATAAATAAACATAGTGTGACAATGCCGAAGGGTCCCCTCTATGCTTCGACACCACAGGACCGAAGGGTCGCCATTGCGTCGGCGAAGACTGCAATGACAAATTTATCAGGACTGACACCACTGTGTCTTCTGGGTAGACACAAATACCGTTACGTTCGCATTTACGCGCGAGCAGTCGCGTCTGTGGGCGGTTGAACTCGGGATGGAGACCGCTTGAGGAAGTGCACCCAACACAATTTAACAATAACAAAATTCATTTATTAAACTAGTTCTACAAAAGGGTATTTACCTTAAAGTTTCTTCGCGAGAACCGAGTTGGAGAGAGCTTACATAACTTCGCGAGTCGTTATAAATACCTGAAGCACTACGTACAGATTTCCAGATGTCTGTGGAGTCGTTGAGGAGCCTTGGGAATGTCTCTGTTGCCTTGGATGGCGGTTAAAGTCTATCAAAAGTTGAGATTCGTTAGTTCTTCGTAGGTGTTCCCGGAGAAACACTGGATATTCGGAAGGAGCGCGCGGTGACGAGCGATGATGGTAAATCCTTTCGGCTGGCACACAGGGAATATTCTCGCGGACTCTCGACCCCTCTCACTGTTCCTTCAGGTGTCTCTATTTCCAAGTCACGTTGTCGTTTTCCACCAATAGTGAATTTTTTGTTGAAGTTCCCAGTGACACATTCTGAGTTACCTGGGAAAGGAAACGACTCCGGGAAGAGAATTGCACTCATCCTCCGGTAATAAAATGGAAAAGGTTTTTTTTTTTCTCTGGGATGTAAATAAATTTCCGTTTCAAAACGAAAAATGAAATTTTCTTTCAAAAAATTCCCGAATAAAATTGTGGGGTTTTTTCCGAAGTCCGACCTCTCACAGTAGTAAGAAAGTATATATATTTTATTTTTGGGGGTCTCCAAAACGAATTAATCAAATTCCCATAAAAACCTAAGGCAAATCGGTTAACGAACAATTCGAATAGCGAACAAAGTCTTGGAACGGATTATGTTCGTTAACCGTTCCTGTATCTGTTCAAATGAAGAAACGTCACATGAATCGGTCACGACATCTATAATCTCATTGCATCGATGAAAAACGTCAATTAAATTACAGTACTTCTAAAGAAATGCTATCGATTTATTTCTTTATAAACATCAAAATAATTCTATGATAGATATTTAAGTGAGAGAATCTTCAAATAAGACTATTAGTAAATAGATACGAAAGTCGAAAGTGTTTACTAATACTTTTTTCGTTTGTCAATTGAAACTATTTCTTCTCCAAATTAACATATAGAGTTATAATCTATATACAGTACTTCATATAAAATTACATGTCCTGACTGACTGATTCATCATCGTCCAGAACAAACCGGTGAATGTAAAAAGGTGAAATTTGGTAATCTGTTAGGGTACGTCATAAATATGCACAATAAGAAGGGATTTTTCGAAATTCCTCCCCGCGGGGGAGAGGGAAATGATTACAGCTTAACCTGAAGAACGGCTTCTACTGTACTATTTTAGATGCGATTTTTTTGTTTTTAACTGCGCTTTAGTAAGGTACGCAATGAAAATTCACACTAAGAAAAGATTTTAGGAAATTCCCCCGCGGAAAGGAGAAAGAAACGATTAAGGCTTAAAATGTCTTAGCCCCGAAAGGCAGTAACACAAACGTAGTTTACAAAGAGGTACTGGGGTTATTGAAACTATTTTTCTGTAAATATTTATATTTTTGAAATTTCCAGGTAATGTCATTTATGTTTCGAAAAAAAATTAAAACTCAGATTTAGGTAAAAGGTAGTCTATAATATAAATGATAAATGTAACATTTTAGTGAACTATGAGCAATTTATATATTTGAACTTACGCAAATTAATAATAATAAGAAATAGGAATATATTGTATAAATTTATTATGAAACAAATCGTAATAACAATAAAGGATGTGATAACTAAAATTACAGTATATCAAATTAATGAATTACTTTTTTACAGAAAAGTATTCATTTTAAATAAAAGAAAACTAGTTAAGTAACAGATACTTTTCATATTAAATAATAGCAAACTTAATGAAACAATAATTAAAGTTATAAAATAAAATATTTTAAATTTACAATAACATACTCTGTAAATTTTTTCTAACGTTCAACATTTCTTGTTGCTGGGTATCCATTAAAATCTTCTTCTGTAATAATGCCATTTCTTTCCTTAAATCTGCCTGGACAGCAGAATATTGATCAATATGTTTACTTTCGAGTTCCTCGATGCCCTAAATTAAAAATTTGTCAATCACATAAAATCATAGCATGAAACACAAAATATTATCTGTCTATACATTTCAATATGTACTTAAATATATTTATACACATTATCCTATTAATTTATAAAAAAAAACAGTCTATAAATTTATCAATTTGATTTTCAGTATTTAAAATAAAATTTAACCTACATGAAATTATTGTTAACACTACTTCAATGATAAAAAAAAAGACAATCAATAACTACTCAAAGTATTTTGCCGCTGAAAAAGATACGAATAAGGAGAAAATGGGTTCAATCGAATATCACTTGCATAGAGTGATAAACAATGGCATTACATGTGAGATTCAAATAAAACTATTCATCCTTCTCTAGCGTAAATATACTTCCAGCAATTGTATTTATCAGTTTACGCGGAATTTATATTAAAGTTTAAATCAAGTTATCCACGAGAATAATCCAAAGAAATAACGTAACTTACTTTAAAGAATTCTTCTCCTAAAAGTTTCAAAGTTTTTAACCGTTTGCTTTGCGATCCTCTGACTTGCAACTGAAATCTCTGTTGCTGTTGAATCAATTTCTGGTGGAATAAAAATAAATTTAATTTTAAAAAAAATGATGTTATTGTTAAAAATTAAAAAAAAAAAGGAATACCTGAAGTTTGTCCTCAGATTCTTTAGCCTTATCTAATTCAGTTTCAGCTTGTTGAATAAATGCACTCAACTGTTTACGAAACTCGTCAAGTAACTTTTTCCTTTCACAGGTTTGTATTTTTGTGGCTTCCAAAACACGTCGAGTGGTAGCACGTATCGAATCCTGTATTCGAATAATCAACATCATTATTTTCTTGTCATTTCAAATTATAAATGTTTGTAGCATACAAAATTTAGTGGGAAATTAAAGTTCATTTAGCTATATTAAACAAATCTAGAATTTTAATAATTGAAATTTTGTTATATTAACCTGAGTATATTGTTCGAGACGTTTTCGTTTGGCCATGAGACATTTACTAACATCGGAGTTGAAACTTTCCAAAAGTTTAGTCATTTCCTGACTGAAATTCTTCTGAATTATAGAATCGTCTCCGCCTAAACATGCTCTTTTCTTTTTATTCGGAGTGGATTCATTCACGGGACATTCTTCTTCGCTTCCATCCGAGTTATTTTCTTCTAATTTCATCTGTTTAGCTTTGTTGGCTTCCTTGTTTCTTCTCGACATTATTCAAATTCTTACTTCTGCAGACGATAACAAACGCGATTTCGTAATCTCGTTTTCAATCTCCACGCGATTTTTTAAAATTAATTTAATCATCTAAATGACACTAATATGTTGAGTTATAAACATTACTTTTTGCAATATTATAAATAAAATATTATATAAAATTATTTAAATGTTTGAATCGTGATAGATGTCAATTTTTAAAACTTAATTTGTCTTTTTATAAAAATTTAAAAAAATTAAAATTTAATAATATTTTTGAAACTGATTTATGGTTAATTTACCTCACTTCGTAATATTTTAAAAATGTATAAAATTTACCTGAATATTTCATTGCAATAATTTAAAATTTTTTAAAGCATATTCTCATATATCCATAGGCCTATAATGAATTTAACAGTTTTATAACAACTTTCTTTAGCGGATGAGCGAAAATGTTTATTTAAGCACTTTTTTAATATACGTATTAAATTTACTTAAAATTCTTGTAAAAATTGAAAAGAATAAATTTTTTTTGTGATAGACCAAATAGTATATACTCGGAAGGATTAGCATAAATTTAAAACCAAATACAGTACAGTACATATGGTAGACCCCCGCTTTTCTAATCTAATTTACACCTGGAAAACCATCGCTAAGAGAACTGTTCTAAAGAGAGCTATATTGTTTCTTATAAAGTGAATGCCATAAATTGAAATACGAAATTTTAATTAAGCGATACAGAGCTGGCCAATAAAAAGAACCCTAACCAGAAGAAAACAAACAAACAAAAAAAAACATGAAAAACCTACCCATTGTCATGTATGCTCATCAGGAAAATTGCTTATACCGAAAAATGTCCACCAAGAAAAATTCTTGTATTTACAGTATTATAAACTAATACAGTAAAATCTAAATTATGTACATTCTAGAAGTAAAGTTCAAAGATCTCTACTAAAAGTACCATTTTATCAATCTTGCAGGATATCAATTGAAAAGATTTTGGACAGTTTCAAGTGGCCAAATGACAGAGCGTGATATCACTTGATAGCAACAGATGAAATGACTACAAATGATATAGTGTGTCATTTTAAACTGTCCAAAAATTATTTCATACATGCTATCATTGATATCATTTATGTAATAGTTTCTGATTGATTTCAAATGTTACCAAGTGTATTACTAAACTGTTTTGTAGAAGTCAGAAATGGGACCGTCCATTAATTAGGTGTTCCTTGGGAGGGAAGGATATCGTGAAAAATACATTATTGTTCCCAATGCTGAGGAACAGGATTAAGACATTGTCTACATTAATTTTTTAGTGGTATTAGTGGCAGACAAATTTGTTCATATAAGTCTATTTTAATAGTCAGTACCTAATAAGTATAACGTTTTTTTAAAATTCTTCCCAGGGGTCAAATCCCAAAATCCCTGTCTTTACGTCCTTGTCAAAATAAGTTCATTTTCATCTTAACCAATTAGGGTATATGGAATATGAAATAAACTTTAAATATTGCAACAGTATTATAAATACCGTATAACAGCTACTTGGTATATTTTCTCAGATTAAATGAAAAGTTCAAAATAGTTTAAATCAGTCGTGAGAACAGAGGGTCGCGAGATCTTAATGTGCGATCATTAGGCTTTGAAAACGTAATTTTATTTTCCTGTTTTCTGTCTCGCGTCTTTATGCAACCCCAACAAAGCTGATCTCCGAAGAACATTGAAATTAAATTTGACTAGTGAAAACATTAGAATAAACTACATATTACTACTTATACTACACAATAAACTACATATTACTACATATCACACTTTTATATTAACTTTATACATATTACTAGTTTGCATATCATTAAAATATGTTTAGTACTGTATCTAGTGCAGGCATGGCCAACAGAATGCCCGTCTAATAAATTTATGTGGCCCGCGATTAATCTTTCAATATTAGCTACTGAAGTCCGAATAGCTCGGTGAAAAATTTTGACGTCTAAAAAAAAAAGTCAACAACTCACCGTGCGTTTAGAGTTAACTCTCCATTACAAATCTCGCACAGTGTAGAACGTTGATAAAGCATGATAATGTGAAAAATGTATCTGTAATCTCTATCTATAATTCAGTCTGTACGGGGTGACACCACAATATCTGGCACCACCTCAAAATCTTCCTAGGGCAGCCTCTGGTTCGGCTCATGAAAAAATTTTTCTTTCCAATTCGGCCCGGGGGCAAAAACTGTTGGCCACCCCTGACCTAGTGCATTCCAATTATGAAGTATGTTGGTATTCGTCAGGCTAGAGCCTGCAACTCCGTAAGGAAAATGTGTACGACCCACTGGAAGTCTGTGAAGTTTCCCGGCAGCCCGAAGTCAGAAAAGATGGCTCATCACTGCTTTAAATGTATCATCCCCAGGATTTTTCGGGGGGGTGGTCCGTTCGGATATGTCGGGCCCCATCCTTCACCACCCGGTCACCCCATTGTGGACTTGGCCGAACCCATAATGGACCTGCTATTTGACGCCCTCTTAGTGCCCACAGGGAGGAAAGAGTATTAAAAAAAAAAAAGAATAGGACAGGTGGTCCGCAGGGAGACATAAATTAACAAATATTAAAACTTTGTTCAATAATTATTCATTTTTAATAGTTTACTTATAGTTTAATTAATTATTCAAAACATACTTTTAGATTTATTATGTATTAAATGGCACAGTATGTCCCAAATATTGGTAATACCCATATAAGTTGACGGAATGCCGAGCGGTCAATGTGGCAGCCTATCGTTCTGGGAGACCCGAGTTCGAATCCGAACGGGTCGAAATATTCCCAGGAATTTTACGGGGGTGGTCCGTCCGGATATCNTTACCGTGAAAAACTTGGCTTCTATTATATTATTTTAAATGCGGGTTTTTGCGTTTTTGATTGCGTTTTAATAGGGTACGTCAAGAGAATGTACACTAAGAAGAAATTTTTCGAAAAATTTCCCCCCACGGGGGAAGTGTTATACATTTATAATAGATACATTTTGAGCCACAACAAAGCGTGGCGGGGTCTGCTAGTAAGTAATAAAGAAATTGACAATATATATACTGTAGAAATTTAATTCTCAGTAAAATAATTGTTCTGAAGTAGAATTACCCTACAGACCACTAAAAATATCGTGAACCCGAATTCGGTTTTTTTTTCTATGGACTCCCAGTATTATTACATGGACTCCGGTTGAGAACTATTGATCTAAACATAAAAGCGAAATTTATATTTTAACTACGTTTATTTTTTATTGTGTAGAATTACAAAGTTGTATAGAAGTTACATTGACATTTCCTATGCAAAAAATGAGTCAGCTAGTAAATAAATATTTTCGTTTATATAATATATCAAAATCTGTAGAATCATTTAAGAAAGAAATGGGAAGAAAAGTGGTCGAAAATGATTTTAAAATGAAAAAGTATAATTATACAATGTTAAAATAAAGAAAAAAATTGCAACGGTAAAATCGCATGTCATAAATTAGTTCTATAGTTACAAATATACTGTACGTTAATATTGTAGTTTATATAGTTTAATACCGTAGTAAATACAGCCTCCGGAATGATCTTAATCCGCCACTGGTCGGGCCCCATTCTTTGCCACCCAGCCATCCCATTTTGAGTCTGGCCGAACTCATACTGTACTTGAAAAGGGAAGATTTTAGCGTCCATGGAATGGAGAGAGTAAAAAATTCAAGTACTGTAATCATTTGACATGAATGTTATACGAATCATTTACAACAGAGTTCGGCAACCGGTATGTGCAAGGTGATGCTAGGTGTGCCACAATGCCCTCCAACAGGATGAAAAGCAGAGTTCGTGGTAGACGCGAGAATGTGATAAATACACGTTGGTTCAAAAGAGAATGCTTTTGCCACCTATGTTTGTAACAGAAGGAATTCTAACAAATTTCAAACTTTTACATCTTTGCAGTCATAGTTCACAGAATCTATGCACGTGTTTATTTGGCGGGTCTCATGTCAGTCAACAACTCAATTTTTTGAGGTGACTAGTGTTGATGTCGTCTCTGTAGCATGCACATATGATCACGAAATCGAAACACGATCGTGCGCTTTTGACGCTAGGATTGCGTGTTACTTTGTCCAGGATGGTTTCCGGGATGTTAATTATGAAATAAAATCGATTATAAACTAATTTCAAATATTTTTATATCATTACAAGTAAGTAAGTTTTGCGTCGGTTTTTATTTTCGAAAAGTGAGAGTACAGTAGCAAAGGAAGAGGGCAGATGATGTCTGATGTTGCTGGGCCGTATGGCTTGGACAGGTCTACACTAGGCACAATCTCAGCTAAAAAAGATATTGTATATTCAAGAAGACTCAAGCAGCTAAAGGAGTAACGAAAATCACATCTAAGAAATAAAGAACATTGAAAAGTTCATAGTGGAACCTGAAACTGATCTGACGACAGAAGAATACCAAGAAACTCGGCGAAATATGTTCTCTCTTGAAAAAGAGAATTGATGCCGATATCTGTCATTAAAGATCTTTTGAAGAAGTGGGAGGATGTCACAACAACGGTCTTAGAATGGCATCCAAATCAGTTTGAGGTTAATAGGCTTAGGGACCTCTACAACAACGCTATTAATTAATTACGCTTCTGAAAAATCCTGAAGAAAAACAATCGACATTAGACAGATTCTTTAACCCCCACAAATGGAAAAAACGTGACCAATAAAAATGCAAGAATGTGTATATACAGTATGTATTTTTATTATTATATATAAATAAACATAGTGTGACAATGCCGAAAGGTCCCCTCTATGCTTCGACACCACAGGACCGAAGGGTCGCCATTGCGTCGGCGAAGACTGCAATGACAAATTTATCAGGACTGACACCACTGTGTCTTCTGGGTAGACACAAATACCGTTACGTTCGCATTTACGCGCGAGCAGTCGCGTCTGTGGGCGGTTGAACTCGGGATGGAGACCGCTTGAGGAAGTGCACCCAACACAATTTAACAATAACAAAATTCATTTATTAAACTAGTTCTACAAAAGGGTATTTACCTTAAAGTTTCTTCGCGAGAACCGAGTTGGAGAGAGCTTACA